TTGATTTCTTGGAGGGGTCACAACCCCAAACTTCCTCCAATCCCACTCCGTTGGCATGTCGTCTACTGGTGGCACAGGAGCTGAAGCTGTATTCAAAGTTATAAAACTAGTTATAATAAGAGCACTGGCACTGTATGAATAAAAGTGTGCTGGATACCCTTGACCATAACGTCTCCCCCGTCCTGTTTGAAACCTAACTTTTGCTTTAAAATCTCTGCAAAACTCTTGAGAGAAAACACATATAAGACAGAGAAGTGAGAAACGAATGCTTAATAGCGGACCATATCTGACAATTCGTTGATTCCTTGGATGTACTTCGCCTTCATATTGCTGTTGTGTTCCTTAATCTTCGCAATCGATCGCTTGAAGAAATCAATTCTTTCCTTCTTTTCCGAGTCATTCGCGTACTTCTTATTAAAGAGGGCCTAAATCCACACATATTGTACACTATTATCACTCATGAATAAATGGATGACAAACCATATAATCCTTATAAAATGGCAACAATTGTGTCATATTTCTGAGATCCAGTTTCGTGATATCAAAGCTCAAAATATCCATTAATTCTGTTAATAATTAAGATTTTATTAAATATGAGTACATTGATTAATTGTCTAAAATACGATACTTTTGGCTTGCCTGACCACCATAGATTTGGCTTTCTTTTTTAAACTTTTAAACTTCTCCTTGATAGTCATCTGATCCCTGGGCTTCTCAGTGGCCTCCTCTTCGGCAGCCGTGACCGATGTCTTAAGGCCGGCGGCAGTGGTCTTAGCATTAGGCGCACCAGTTTCAGCCTTTTCTAGTAGTGGTGGGGCTGTTGTGGTGGAAGCGGCCTCCTCTTCAGATACTGTCGACCCCTCGTCCTGACATTTCGTCAGATTTATGTTAAATAGTATTGATATCAATAAGACAAACACAACTGAAGACCTCATCGCTTGTTAACCATATGTTGACATTTAATTACAAATACAGAAATTAAACTTCATTTTATACACCAACTGTTTATGTATGAAATTTATGAATTAATTATTATTATTTCAATTTTTCTACCAAAAACTCAATTATTATATTAAATAACCAACAATTAGATAAAATTATTTTTATTTTTCATTTACTTGTTAGTATAATAAATATAAACTCATAAATAATTAATAAATAATATAAATGATAATTAATATGTTATAAATAAAATACATTCAGAATTTACTAAATTCAGATTATATAATTAAATTTATAATGGATTTAATTAATTTGTGATTTATCTCATTAATAATTTGAGTCCTGATTTATTTCCATTGAAATGCCGCCGATATCACGATCTTCTTCGTCGTCGGAATTCATTTCATTAATGATCTCTATTTTTATCACTAAATTGTGAGATATTTCCATAGACGTGATGTCAATCTTATTAATAAGTAGCTCATCAGATACCTCGTCGTTTCTCTTAAAGCATTCAAAACGATAACATCTATTCGGATATTTGTGACCAAATTCTATCAACAAATTAATAGACTCTTGAGTTATATTAGGAAAACCTAAGAATTTGAGGCATCGAATCGATGGACAATTAGTTAATAAGTGTTTAATTCCCAAATCAGTAATCAGTGGAAACAAATCACTTTTGAAATCATTAGTTGAAATCTTCAAATACTTTAAGTATTGTAATTTACTCAACGATATGAGTGCTAAATTAGACAAATCTTGTGCTGAACTCAAGTGAATTGACAATAGATTTGGAGAATAGACATCAATGTCTTTCACAAAATTGTCGGTCAATTCCGAAAAGCATAAATCTAAATGAGTTAAACGAATGCAATGTTTCAGACAATTCATATTCAATTTTCTCAGTTCTTTAGTAACCATTTCATAGCTCTCATT